TGTGGCTAAGTTACTTGTGTGTACATTACAGGTCTACCATATCTGGGCTGGAAAAAAAAAATAGGAGAGAGAAGTTATAGAAGACATTGTCATCTTCTACTTCTAAATATCCTCTACTTTTATATAGATGCTTTCATTTTTTTCTTCTTCTTTCCAGACAAAATTTCCTTTAAAAAGAGAAAGAGACCTACAGGGTGTTAAAAATGTCTATCTGGAGACACTGTTAAGATTGATTTGCTGAAATGAAGTACTGAGAAGAAGGATGGCCAAGCATGCAGTATGAGTACTAGGACTAACAGGGGAAGAGGTGTTGTTAACTGGTTTTGACTCTCTTTCTCAGGCATTTTTTTAAAAAACTAAAAATCTCAATCCATCAAATTATATAAATATTCGCTGATGTCTATGGATCTAGGTTTCACACAACATAGATAAGCTTCATTAGGAGGTGTACATAACAAATAAGTGTAATAAATAAATTGAAAACCAGGACAATATGTGTCCCCCAAATCCATCTTATGTAGCCCTTGGGCCCCTCCAAATTGTTCCACCACATTGTAATCTGCATGTGGAGTAGTCCCTGTTAATTGTATTTAGTTCAACTTGAATGTTATCAAATTTAGTTTTATATGGTATGGTTGTAAATATCTGACCTACTAAGTTGTTTGCAGTTTTGCAACTGTTATACAGAGGTTAAGCTGAGGCCATGAGGATTCCTGCTCTGAGGGTTTTAACAAGCTGCTGGTTATGGTCAAGATTTGTAAGGAAGGGGTTATATAAATATGCCTGCTTTTATGCTCTGCTGTGTGACAGTCCCAGAATGAAGCGGTAGTCATCATTCCTTGACTCATAATATATTTCAAAAGAATTTTAGGAGGTCTAGAGCTTCTCTTCTCTTTAAATCACTGTTTTTCAACCTCAGCCACTTTAAGCTGTGTGGACTACAACTCTCAGAATCCCCCATCCAGCATGGGGGTTGTAGTCCACACAGCTTAAAGTGGCTGAGGTTGAGAAACACTGCTTTAGATCAAGGGTAGACAACTTACATTGGCTTGAGGACCAAACTATTTCATTCAGCAAGCCAATGGCTACACTTCAAAAGTAAATGCAAGATTGTGTGTTATGTGTGTGTGTATGTATTTGTTGTTTTGTTATTATTATTATACAAATTGTTCCCCAGAGTTGAAGTTTTTTCCTTTATTAGTAGGAAGGATACTAAGAGTCTTTTCCCAGTGTTTTTGCTCCCTCTACTGTGAAAAGAAAAAGTCCTGCAGCCTTTTTAAAAAATATATCAGATGAAAAAGCATGAAGGAAAGGGAAGTCATCAGAGTAGGTAGATATGTTTTTGCATTGAGAAATTTTTCATGGGCAAAATGGATACCCCCTATGATATTCTGAAGTACAAGATAGACTTTCTAGATATCATCCATCATCCTTGGCTTTTTAGCCAGATAATGCTGGGCAGAGGCTGTGAGGTCTCAAAATTAGGGTATAGCTAGGACTAAAGGGTTCCATACTTCAAGAGAGTAATAGCATACTTGCTATATTGCTGCACATTACCAATAGTCTCCCAAATGTAAGAGACATTGTACTGGAGCTAAAGGCTAAGATAAAATGTTGGCTCATGGAAAGAGTTGAATGTGCTATGCACAAGACCATTTCAATAAAGTTGAAGTAACTTACAACTTTTTGATGTCTGCCTGAGTTTTTATATGCCTAGCTTTATTAAAATTTTACAGAAAGCATTTAAGACTTGAACAGTGTATGTGCATTGCCCATACTAAACCTTTTGAAGTGTTTAACTGTCAAGAACCCCTAGCAAAAGATTCTTGGACATGTAGTTTGTTCTATGAACAGAAGCCAGCATGTTAACCAAGACATGTACCCAACGGTGCAGGACCAATGGCCAACCCTCCACAGCCCACAGGACCCTCAGATAACTATCAGAAGGATAGCAATTAATAGGTGGCAAAAGTAAACAGGCTGAGCATTACACAGTTACCAGTCCTTGTCTCTTCCTCTTCCTTCTTCTTCTCCTTTTCATTTGTGCTGATCTAAACTAAACTGGCCATCTAAAGCACTCTCTAATTACGTCTAAGGTGTAATATTGCCTATGTTACTGTTACCACTTGTTCCAATGTCCTACTTCCACTTGCTCATCATTCAGCAGGATGAGCAAATAAGTCATAATGAAAAAAGAAGAAAAAAAGATCGAGGAAGTTGTTTGCTAGCAGGCTTACTAATGAGAATGAAAAAGGATCTGCCACTGGAAATAAGGAATGCCTTACAGGATGCTGAGACAACAGGGTGGCAATGTTGTGACCTGATTGTCTTGGCTGATTTTAGCAGTGTTCATGCAACACACTAAAGCCAACATTTAACAAATTATTTTAGTGCAGTGTGTGAACTCAGCATGTATGAAACCTGAACTTTTAAAACTCTTACCTGTGGTGCAGGTGAAGAATTCTGAAGAAGAGATCTTCCACAGGAAGCAAGCATCGCCCTAGCAAATTGTCTTCACATTTACTTATTTCCCAAAATATAGGCTCCAGCACAGGGTCACCACAGCCATTTCAAGAGATTAAGTGAACACATTTAGAAGATGATGAACAGCAGCATAGGGCAAGGAGGCAGATATTTCACGTCCTCCATCAGAGCTTCATCAACAATGTGAATTGTGTTGTTCAGACAATGAAGTCCTACTTCCACTTGCTCATCATTCAGCAGGATGAGCAAACAAATCATAATGAATAAAGAAAGGGGAAAAAAAAGATTGAGGAAGTTATTTGCTAGCAGGCTTACTAATGAGAATGAAAAAGGATCTGCTACTGGGAATAAGGAAATGACATTTGATCTGCAAGACCTTTAAAGTATTGCTGCTTTCTGATGTCTGGTGATTCAATAAGGCAAGGACATTGGAGATATAAAAGAGAATGGCAAGGTGATCCAGTAGCAAGGTATACTGACAAGGACCTGCCTAGCTTCCCCAAACTGATCCCTAGGATTTCCTGCCTTGTAGCCCTCAACTTCCCAAAAAATCTTTGCTTTTCCATTGTTCAGGAAAGGGCCACTCTTTCTTGTAAAGCAGGCACCCAATAATAAACGTGGTTCTTCTCCTCAATGTTGTGCTCCTTCTTCAGACTGAATCCATGACAAAAGGCATTTCCTCTTCTCAATAGGATTGGCACCTTCCCCCCTCCTTCATCTCTGGGCCCATGTTTTGGCAGTAGGTGATGATACTTATCTCTAAAGACTTCTTAGTTCATAAAAGTGAAATCTCAGAACAAAAACATTGATTATGGTGTGGTTTTCTCCCCCCCCCAAAATTAAAGATTCTGTGAGGATTAACATTCCTATTTTGCATCTTAACCCCCCTACTGCCAACACCCATTCCCCAGCTTAACATTTTCTATTCCATCCCCAGTGCTATAACTTTGTCACCACTGTTCTCTCTCTGTATGGCCAGTAGCCAGAAAATATTGCCTATATAAATATTAAGGCAAAATACGATGCATTTGGTTCTGGCTTAGCCTGCTATACATATCCCAGCAACTATAGCTTGTAAATCACAATTTGTGGCTCAGCGAATATGTACAAAAATTGTAGTGCTTAACAATCTGACTATAAATATGAGAGTTTTATTTATATATTGCTCATTTCTTTATTTCAAACCTGGAAATCAGTAGTTCATTTGTCAGGCAAAATGGACTACTCTAAGAGTGTGAGTATTAAAACTGAACAGTCAGGAAATGGAAATATCACTGGAGTCCTAATGACTGCACTCATGCACACATCCATCATATCCATTCAGTTTCCTTGGCAACAATACTGAAGTGACTTAATACTGCTTTTTTCAAGAGGTTTTAATCTGTCATCCAAGTATGATGGGGTCCATCCAGCCCTGCTTAGTATTTGCAAGATGACCCAAGCTAGGTGACAACAGTTAATTCATGCTGTGATAAGTTAATTCATCAAATAATAGTACTTAAGTTAATAATCAAAGTTTTGTCTTGTCACATTTTCTTTTTGAGGTCCCCTTTGCAGTCTGATTTTTGATGTGTCATTATATCAGGACAGCACTCAATGCAAGGGGAAAGTGTGAAGGTTATATTGACTGAACATCAGGAAGCATCACCATCTTGTTCCTACAGTGCATTCTTTCTGTGGCCTCCTTCTCTGTTGGAGGACAGTGCTGTGTGTGCTACATGGTAAAAAAGGGTGTCCACAGACCAGACTAGGTAACTAGCTACCCAGACTATTTTGGAGAAACTTAAGAAACAATCCTAAGCAGCACTTATCACTGTTTGGCAAGCTACTGGGAAATAAGAAGGAATTGTGGATATATTAGTATTTTTTTAATGAAAAATTCAGCTGATGTTCCAGCAGAAACTCAGGCAAAACATCAGTAGATCTCCAAGGTGTATAGAATGGGGAAGAGTGGGTGATTAACAAAAGACAACCAAGTCAGTAACCTTCTACTTTGCACCAATTCAGAATAGTCTCTGAATTTGTCTCATTTCACAGCATCAACTGGTTTATCAACTTATTTCTTGCTCTGTATAATTTACTTGAAACCAGAACAAAATTTTCTCCTCTCACTTTGAATCCCAGCTTTTCAGAGCTTATATCAGTCTGTTTCTAATGGGTGAGAACTTTTGCTTCATTCAGCCTCCTGTTCCTAGATTCATGCCAACAGTTACTCCCATCGCCCCCAGCACAGAACTTCAGCATCCCATTCCTGGTGCCTGTTCATAGGTATTGTTGAGAAAGCATTCCCACCACCCCATTCCAGCCACCATGGAAACACTCACCTATGGTTCCAACTATTGGGAAGAAGAGTTGTTTGCAAAAATAGCAACATAATAATAGTTTCGCTTTCACAGCTTGCAAGAGGCTTTTAAATATAGCAAAGGAATGCCAGTTTGGCAGGTGGGCAACTTCACCTCACAGCAACTGCTCTGATCCTTTTTGGCATAGGACAAATGCACACAACACAAACTGAAAAATGTGGAAGGATAGAACCAAAAATTTATTTTCTTTTGGTATTTGCATTATTTGGATGACAGTAGCTCAAGGAGCAGATAGATTGATTGATTGATTGACTGACCATTCTCTTGCTGGTCAGCAGGACAGTGAGCACTGCTTCACTAACAGTGTTCCTTTTGTGTCATCTGTTTTCAATTTGACAGAAATGAAGACTATTGTGGTTTGGCTTTGTACTGCTTTGTGAAGGATGGAATAGAAACCATCATGATATAAAATCCAGTAAGTCAACTGGAAAATAGAAAGTAGCAGAAGAAATGGAATGGTGTAGCCTGGAGCATCGAACAGCTCACTGGCTTGAAAGTAAGCAGATGTATTCCTCTTAGAAGGTTAGAAGACCTAGCAACATTTTGATTCAGGTTTTCATTCAGGACTATCTCTGATTTTTCACCCACTCATTGCAATGTTCCTGGGGGAACCTGTTAGCAATTTCCCACTTTGGGGAGGTAAGGGTTCTGGAGGCTCACAGATGTTATTTTCCTTTTGTAGTACCATTACTTTGGAACTTTCTCAACCATGACATTTGAGCAGCTCCTATACATATATAAAGTAACATCAAAATGTAACATATATACACATACACACATACACACATACACTGTGTGTGTGCATGTACTTTTTGATGTTACTTCTATTTTTTTATTGTTGGCTTGCATCTTAGATACTGTATAGTCTGAAATTACTCTTGTTGCTGATTGAGATCTCATTTGGTTCAAAAGGAACTCTAACTAACTAGCTTCATACAGATGTAAAATAAAGATTCCATGCAATTAAAGTGGCACTATATTATTTAACAATACCCTTCCCCTGTGGGCAAGATCCATTTATATTTACTTATAAATCTAATTGAGCAAAAGTTATTTAAAACTTCAATTAAAAGTTTGTTGCTTATAAGTTCACTCTTTTTACTGTAGGCTGTTAGTTTCACCTGCTAATTGTGATGAAAGCCTATTATTATTCTATGAATAACCTCCCTAAATTGCTGCATTTATGGTTTCTGTTCCTGTGACAGAAACTTGAATTATGGATTTATGTTTCTTTCAACTATTAGAATTTTTTTTTTGAAGAGCTCAATTCTTCTTGAAAAGAAAAGAAAAAGAAAAGCAAATATAATTCAAAGAAACTAGTAATCAAAGTTTCCCATTTCAGACAATTCAGGAAGCTATTAAGAGGGCAATTAACAATCTGTTGATCATTAATTCCCAACCAGGAAGCAACAAAACACACAGGACCTGCAAAGAGGAAGATGATATTAAAAGAACAGCATCCTAAGAAGTCAGAACTAGACAGGCTAGTACTGCAATTGCACTTTCTTTCAAATCAGATAAAAAAAAAAAAAGCAGGAAATACTGAATTGCAATGATTTAACAATGACATTATTCCTGCAGATGGTGCAACAATGATATTATCTGGATGCACCATTAAAAAAAAAGAAAAAAGGATGGCTATTCCAGAAAAAAAAAATCTCTAGAACTGTTTCTAGATATCATGATGCTACATTGATACTATACAGCTGAGCTATGCACAGTCAGTCCTATTCTGAAAGTCTTTCTATGGAGTGGCTTTACACTTCCTTAACAGGAAGAAGGTGAGATAGCATTGCCGTCCTTCTTCTCTTTCCCTGGTGGAAGGAGCCACTGTCTTCAGAGTTCAAACTTTCTTCAGGGCTCAAGCCCAGGTCCATTTAGCCTTGAACCTTCCTGTGGGCTGGGATTGCTTCCAGGGCTGGGACACATCTGTATGGTATGAGTTTTCTCTGGGACAATGAGTTCGAGTTGCATTTGCCCAAGGCAATTCCCCTTGGAGTTTCTGCCCAGTTCAGTACTGTCGCCACTAGGGCCCTTGAGGCAGGCATCAGAACGGATTGCCTTCAAAGAATCATCCCGGGTCTTTTCAGAAGTACCCACTCGCCAAGGGAGGTGTAGGTATTTGTTCACTTCAATAGCAGGGCTACGACGATTAGGATCTAGAGCCATGAGGCGGTGGAACATGCGCAAGACAGGAGCTGTGAAAACTTTCCACAGGCCTGGAACCTCACCTGGGACTGTGCGATTCTGCCAGATGCTAAATTCTTCAAACTTAGGATCAGGACTCATTGCCATATCCCAAGGGATGCAACCAGTACAAATGCAGAAGAGCAGCACTCCAAAGGCCCAAATGTCGAGGCTTGAGTCCAGAGCTAGAGACTCTGTCCGATCTAGCAGGCACAGTTCTGGTGGGGAATACGGCAAGACACCAGACATAGCAGATATCTGGGTGCCTTCCAGTCGTGTCAAGCCAAAGTCACCTAATTTCACCTGCTGGCATTCTCGGTCAAACAGCAGCACGTTGTCTAGCTTTATGTCCCGGTGCACCAAAGCTTTGCCATGCATGAAATCCAGTGCATCAGCCAACTGGGCTGCACACCGCTTCACCTGCACCTCAGGAAGACCTTCCTGTTGAAAAAGAAGAAGTGGAATTACTGAAAAGCACCACAGAATCCCCAGGATCTCAGTGGGGCCAATTTGAAAGCACCTTCCGTGTGGTTAATCAAACAGACATTGTTTTGAAAAGCTATGAAAAAATGCTTTTTCAAGTTTGCCACAGAAACTGTGCATAAACATATAGATTGACTAATACTGTGAGAGGCTTGTACTCTCTAAAATAGTTATGCATATTTGTATAATTGTATTATCAAAACTATCATTGTTCAACCTGGAAACAGTTTTAAAGTATCCAAATAAAAAGGCCAGATATATGTATAGAAAAGTATACTGTGGGACTTTAAAGAAGAAACGGGTACCCAGCCCAGTTGGATGGAGAAAAAAGCCTAATAAATGAAGTAGCATTTAATGCACTGGCAAACTCTGATCTTTTACCATTCCAACTGCAAGCAGGACTTGCAGCACAGTTGAAAAACTTACTGCAAACTCTCCTCTTATCTAACAGTTACCCTTACCCTTAACTCTCCTCTTGCACCCATTCAAGACATATCACCCTACCATCTTCCATGCTTTTTGAGACTCTCCCAGTTGTAGTGCCCGTAAATATTTAGAATTTTATACCCCTGAGTTCAAGATAGCACAGAGATCTCCAGCTGGTGCCAGCTCCTGTGCAAATCCATAATGAGTGGATGATTCAAAAGCACTGCCAGTGGTTCGAAGAAGGGTAGGGTGTGAGGAGAGGCAGAGAGCAATACAGTATTCCCACAGGAACTCCCGTCTCCCTGTATGTTCCTTAGACATCAGCTTCAAAGCCATTGAGGTTCCTGCAAGCAAGGATATATGGCAATGAATATATATTAAGGGATGCTGAGGTGCTATAGCATCAGTAATATTTTTTTTTTTTTGGTGCCTTCAAGTCAGTGTTGCCTCCTGGTGACTGCCTGTATAAGTCCCTGTAGTTTTCTTGACAAGATTTTCAGAAATGGTTTGTCATTGCCTCCTTCCTAGGGCTGAAAGAGAGTGACTGGCCCAAAGTTATCCAGCTGGCTTTGTGCCTAAGGCAGGACTAGAACACAGTCTTTCATTTTCTATCCTGGTGCCTTAACCACTATACCAAATTGGCTCTCTACTACTGTATTTTAGTGTAACAATAACCAGATACCAGCATATATCAGGGTTACATCAAGATTTACAAAGTATGTTAGATGATACAGGAGAAGCCTTTCTGAAACCTTGATCTGCTTGCAATACTCTTCCATATAGAACATTTTGTTTTAGAGATGGCCATTCCCAAAAGCATCTCAAAAGATCAGACAGATACCCTGGTGATCTTTGAAATGCATTTTGACCTACAAATGCAAATGTACTTTAAACCCTCATTTTTGTATGTTATATACAAAAAATGTATATAACACTTCCTTTTTTGCAAATGAGGAATGAGGCTGAAAGTAAACCATAACAATTTGAACAAAGACGTGCAGAGGAAGGAAGAGACCAGACATGACTGGGATTGTTTTCCCTGCACATGTGCTTAGAGATGCAGACAGGCTGATGAAATGCAGCTATTTCAGACTTCCTCTCTCTTAGTGAAACATGGGTATCTTTTAAAGTTGCTAGAAGGATTTAGACTGAGAAATATCCTCATACTGGCTATCCATTCAGTGCTGGTTTTGATTCTGCAGAGTAAACTACCAAGTAACAGGAAACAAGGCAATTTTTCTTCTACCCAGAGTCCATTTTGAAGGAGAGAGGAAGATGGGAAACCAGACACTTTTGGCTCATCTGCAGCTTGCTCACTCATTAGCTGTGTCTGACATCCTTAAGGGCTGGTCATCCCTGATTTAAAGGAAGGGATTTTGGAATCAATGAGCATGGAACATGGAGGATAATGGTGATAAATTTATGTTATTTTATGTTATTTTAAAATCAGCCATTGTATATCAATGTCTCAGCAAACAGCAATATCTGATTGATCCTGTCTGGGCTCAGAAACTAAGTAGTCCCAGTCAGTACTTCAGTGACAGACCTTCACAGAGTCCCAGGGCTATAAGCTAAACTGGGAAGGGGGAAAAAATCCTGGGAAAAGGCCAAGGTAAACCCCTTCCATATTGTTGCTGAGAAAAGTACAGGGACATATCCATGAAATCACCCCAAGCTGAGCAAAACTTGGAGATGTTACTTTAATATCAGTATTACCCCACTAGATGGCACTGTGAAGCTAGCTGATTAAACAATAAGGACAATCTGTATAACAGAAAAAAAGCAAGCATCCATATGCTGTGCTCAGAATTTTACTTGCATGGATTCTGTGCAACTTGCCATTCACTTGCATTTTTCTTAAGGGTTGCTTCCTTCTTTATGTCCTACAGTTGGGAAGCTAGCCAACTTGCTGCTGTAACTGCTGGGTCTTGCTTTGCCAAAACAGTGCCTGCTTGTTGGCAGCTGTACACATGCCTGGGATGACACAGCTAATTAACTGCAGGCCATGTAGGCTGGATGAGGGCAGCAAGCAGCATGGGCTGAGCTCAGCCCAAGCCAGGACTTGCTAAATTAAGATTTAATCCCACATCCTTGGATTAGCATTAAGACAGCCTGAGGAACTCTTAAATTCCCCATAATCAAGCAAATTCTTAAACAGGGAGCCTGCGGACAAGAGTTTCCAAGATGATTTTCAGAAATCTATCTGAACCGACTGGGCAGCAGAATAAACTCAAAGAATAGTATAGTACGTCATGGGCTGGCTTCACACATGATGCTAAGCTAGAAAGGTTTGGCTTAGTGTGTTGCATGAACACAGCCATTTTGTAAATCAAGGTTTATGGTTTAACATATATGGAATGGGTCACTGTGTCTTTTTCAATACTCCATGGTTAAGATGAACCATAGGCTAGTCTAGAAGTGTGCATTATTTGCATCTGGCATGGGCAAAGCTGCTTCAGACCAATATGGGTACCCTTGCTGTACACACAATGGAAGTTACTTGGCGAACAGGCAGTCCCTGATGGCCATTTTGTGTGAGCATACATGATAGGCTTAAAAATATTCCAAATGAATTTATGGCTCCAAAAGGTTTGCCTACCACTGAGCTAATAAAGGTGGGTGGTATTTGGATCCAAAGAGGGGAAAATGCTTGGGACCTCATCGTACCTGCTGATAGCTTCTTTGAGAAGCTAGATCCTGAGTAGCTATGGTTTCCATGTCAGCTGCTGATCGCACTCAAAATAAGCATCTGCCAGAAGATAAGCCAGTAAGGTCATTCCCCTACTTCCTCAAGATGCTCTTTAGCAAATCAGGCTGGCCCTTTGTTTTGTACAATACCAGTTTTCCATATATTTATTTTTTATCGAAAGAATCTAAGAAATAATGGAAATGGGGATCCTGAGATTCTCAAACAGATATATCAGCGGAAACAGGTTGCCTCTTCCTGGCTATCCATATTATATAAACCCAATCAAAAGGTCATCCCCCTTAAATACAGTTACCTCTCTCACGATGCTGAACCTGTAGAACACGTCCATAGGAACCACTGCCTAGCTCCTTGGCTATGTTGTATCTCTCCTCTGCCTCCAGTTTCGGCAAGCTCTTGGAGGTGATAGATATGAGCTTCTCTAGGAACTCCTCATTGTCTTCAGTGTCCTCCAGATTCTCAGCAGAATTGACATCTTGCTCACCAGCAGCACCTGAGAGGAGAAAGATAGGGACATTAAAAGAAGCTATTGAAAATCAGATACAGTGTTCCAGATTGTCTTAGCATTAAATAGAATTATATGATTGGGAAATTGAATTTGGTTTACAAAAGGAAGTTATATAGTCTAATTTCACCTGAGATGCATAGTCTTCTTATGGACAATCTAATGATAATGACAATAGTAATTTATTAAACCTGTTAATATTTATTAAATACTATTAATGCTGTTCTTAGTAATCTCCCATTTATCCTTAATATTTATGTCTTAGAATTTTGCAAAATGTTTGGAAATGGCTTTTCTTTTTGGTGCAGCTGCTGATATCTGCCTTAGGTATATGTGTATAATTTCACTGTAAGAGGCTCAGAATTAAATTTTTACAAACACATTTTAGAAATTATGTTTAGCTTAAAACAGGAAAAGGTTTGAAATAATTTTGCTATCCTTAAAATGGAGATTAAAACAATCTCCATGTATTTGCAAATTCGATCAGCATCATATTTCAAATATGTGTGTATGAGTGTGTGTGCCTTCATTGCCTTAATTTATTAAACCAAATGGACTAAGGGGGAAAACTGAAATATTAAGGGAGCAATGCAAGAGCACTAGACCTACTTTGCTATTAGACAATATGAGCCCAAGAAGCTTAAGACCATGGAAAGCACTTTCTGATTATTGGTCCAGCAAAAGCAAGGACTGAAGCTAGTTTTTTTCTCAGCTGTATCTGGAAATGAATTAAACTTGAATCCCTTTCTTGAAAGTATTGTATTAATTTTATTACTTATCTATGTATTTCAAAATGAGAGCAGTACATTGACTAGGTTCATACTTTGTACTAAACCATAATGTGATTTGTTTGGTTTTGACTTAGCCTATTGTGTGAACTAATTTGGTTCACGCAGTAAATGTTGGTTAAGCAAGCAATATGTAACATTAACATTTAACATTATGCATTATTGTTGCTATAATTTTAGTGCTGTTGAAGAGGACCAGTATTTGTGGGGTTTTGTCTTCAGATGTATGGGTAACGTTTCCAGTTTGGGGTAATGTGAACCTTGGCATGGGAAGAGCACCATTTCATGCTCTGGGTCAGGTAAACAAATTAATGTACCCTGATTTGAGGAATGCCTTTCTCCTCTTGCTGTGTTTGAAGCCACTTACTTGTGGTTTCCTCAACCTAATGTGCAATTGTAAGGAAAAATAAATCGTGTTCTGGATTAATATAACAGGTTGATGTCTAATCTGACCTTCCAAACTGGGTTCACATAAATGTGATTCACTCGTTTGTGTACTGCAGTCCTTAGATAGTTCCACTTTCCCAAAAGATGGGCTGGAGAGTGCTGAGTCTTTCTCTCCTTTGCTGCTGGAGGGAAGGTAGCAGAAGCAGCCCCCAAATATGCTACCTTCCAAATATCCCAGATTACAAATCTCCATCATCAAGGTCAGTGGCCACTCTGTCTTGGAATTATGGGAGTTATGATCGAAGAAATCTTCTGGTGAACAGTAAATCGGGGGAGGCAGCTCTGAAGCAGCGGCAAGAGCACATGGGAAACATTCGCTAGATTGATGGCTGCTCCCTTTCTACAGCATAGCTGTTGTGATAGCTTAAAACCTCTTCCTTCCGGGACTGGGAATTCCTGCATCCCTTCCTTTAACTAGCTGAGGTATATGACATATCGCTCGCTACTGCCTAAGATTAAAATCAGCCCACACTTGCTCTCAAAGACCTCGACCTCCTTGGGAGGAAAAATGGCGCCTGTTGTGGCTCTGAAGAAAGATAGCCGAGAAGCATTTTTGTTACCTACTCCCCTTTACTGGAGAATTTTGGACTTGGCGTTTACAAGGTTCTCGAATGGATCAATGCCCGTTTTTCCGCAGATCGCCGCTATGTTTTTCCGCGGGTTCCCATTCTTTCCTGCAGGGCTTGAGGGTGGTGTCCGTCCTTGAATCCAAGACTGGCAGGTAGGTGTGCGAGAGGGCCCAGGACTGGGGAGGTGCTTAGTCGCCAGCGGGAGCAAAGGGCCAAAGGCAGCTGGACCGCCGGGACATGAATCTGAGTCAGCTTAGTGGCACCTTTCCACCGCCCCGTACTCGGCGGGGGGACATTCTCATCGTGCCGCTTGCGTATGTATGAGCGAATGACTCGGCAGTTTCGGGTCTCAGGAAGACCTTCAGAGAACTGAGTTAAAATAGCGCCGAGAACAGTATTCTAGTGCGTAGCTAAAACCTGTAGCACCGGGAAATCAAAGTGCTCCAGGCGATCTCCGATTGGCCTTGGAGCTGGACAATTTTCCAACATCCCTTCCGTTTTGTATAGGAGTTTCTTGTAGAGGATGGATATTTTTCAGCCCAAAGGAGGAACAAATGTCTTTATGTGCTGGAAAATTAACTTGTTACCTGATATTTCATGAAATCATAAAATGACAGAGCTGGAAGGGACCTAAGAGGTCATCAAGTCCAACTCCCTGCATACTGCAGGATGAACTACATCATCCCCAAGAGATGACTATCCAGCCTCTGTTTGAAAATCTCAGTGAAGGGGAAGATACCACGGCATGTGGTAACCTATTCCACTGATTGATAGCTCTCTCATGCGAAGTTCTTAATATCGAACCTCTATTACATCCTTGAAGTTTCATCCTGTTAGTTCCAGCCTTAGCCTCTAGAAAAAATAAGTACAAACCCTCTACAATGTGACAGCCTTTCAGGTATTTGAAGACAGTTATGTCCCTTCTCAACCTTGTCTTCTGTAAACCATTAAAAATAAATCAGATTAGGGGAATATAATTTCCTCCCTCCTCTCTCCCTTTTATGGATACTGTTGGAATTAAGGGTGTTAGCATAATACTTAATAAGGTACAGTATTTCAAACTAGATTCTTTAAAAAATAATCCATATGTTTTAAGATTCAGTGAGAAGTGTAGAGGACCTTTAGCATTTGATTTTAGAAATGAATCTGAGCCTTTTGATATATGCAATGAAGCCCCTGGAAAAGTTACAGGTGCCATGATGTGTCTACCTACATGTACACCTACAAAGATCAGAATTGTGCAGGCAATGGTTTTTCCTGTGACATTCTATGGAAGTGAAAGGTGGACTATGAAGAAGCAGAATGGAAAGAGCATTGACACTTTTAAACTTTGGTGTTGACTCCTGAGAATACCATGGATATCTAATAAAACAAACAAATGGATCATTGAACAAATCAACCCAGAGTTCACTCAAGGTACCAATGACCAGGCTCAAATTATCTTACTTCAGACACATTATGCAAAGACCCAACTCCCTTGAGAAGTCCATAATATTAAATAAGGTGGGAGGAAAGAGAAGAGGACAACCAGCAGCAAGGGGGATGGACTTAATTACAGCAGGGATGTGTGCACTGTTGGATGACTTGTAGGGCCAGATTGGGGACAGATCATCTTGGAGAAAATCTATCTGTGAGGTCACTAAGAGTCAACATTAACTTGATGGCACATAATCAAGGTATCAGCTAGTAGCACCACTGATATTTTACTTTTTTTAAACCATTAATATTTGAATGATTTAAATCTATTTAAATAGAAACTCTCATTTTACCACATTATTTAAAATTAATTGTTGCAACTTTATGTTCCAAATTAGAGATGCATTGCCTCCATACATACAGGTTTGTTCATCTATTTGGGAAAATGGTCATTGGGCTAGGAAAAAAGTCAGCTATACTCCTCTACGCTAAATTGCTAAAAATGTGTGTAAGCTATAACAGCAGAGAAACTACAACTTCTGACCCAGAAGTCCATCAATTTCAAGTATGCTTGTTTTGAGATTAAAATACAGACAGGTATGTGCTTTTGATACCTATGAAAATAATGGGGAACAATAGCTCCATTTTAGAGAATTTGTTTATCAAATTTGTATAGCCATCCATCTCACAGAAGAGCAACTCTGGGCAGCTTACAATTATCCAATAAAAACAACACATACATAAACAATATAAAAATATAAAAATCAATATTAAAAGATAAATATGATTTAAAAAAACAAATATACAAACCCTAGGAAAGAGAGAATAAGGATAAGAATGAACATTTCTTGAGACTTTGGGAGAAAAATCATCCCTACTCTTTTCAAGCTTTAATTATTTGGGGGGCAACAATGAATCATTTTTCAAATTTGAATTGTAAAACACACTGGCAAAAACAGGTATCACCCAGGGATTTGATGCTAACTCCACAACATCCAAAAGGCCAAACACAGTACCGTATATGGAATTTCACTGAACCCCACCATATCCTCTGTAACCAAACTCTTTTTTTTCATGTTCCAGTATACAATTCCTTGTTTTAAGTTGGGGATAAATCTTCCAACAAACGATCTAGTATAATTCTTGAGAAAAAATTGTCTGAATCTTTGAAGAGTCTGAAAGAGTCTATTGGAGAGGTATATAAGCCACTTAATCTTAGTGACGGCTGACTTAATTTCAGAGAGATGAGGTATGCCTATATTATGATTCATTTTGTAGATGATTCATAGCAGAAGCCATCAGGCATGATTCATAGCAGAAAAAAAGATACACCCCATGTTTGCTATATATTTTTTTTAACATTTCAGTGGGTAAACATCACTTTGTAACAGCAGATATCCCATAGCAACAATGATCTTCTTCCACTGCATCTTTTCCCCCTTCTTTACTATTATGTAGTAACTAAAGATATGTGAGTTTAAATGTGTGAAACTGATTCAAAGCACTGTGTGGCCTTGGACAACTCAAACTTTGTCCCAGTTTGACCTATATTATAGGAGTGTTTGCTTGTTTAAAATGCCGTACTGCCTTTAGTCCAGTAGGAACAAATAGTTATAAAAGTATAAAATAAAAATGTAATATATTTAAGAAGTCTAAGGACATAAATCTAAATTTTATAAAGGAAGGATGGGATTCAGATGTAATCATTACTGTTAAAGGGAAAAAGTTTGCATCTGCCTATCATGGCAGCCCAGTAAGAAATACAGTG